TCCTTTTTTTTTTTTTTTTTTGCATAACACAAACTGATTTTTAAAAATAGTCATTCCCAACATTTCTATAAGAAAACCACTGGTTTCTATATCTGCCAACTTGAGTTCCTTACTACCTCCCTCGTACCTTTGGAATCAGAGAGACCTGAATTCAAACTTCACCTGCACCATTAATAGGGGCTTGCTTTAGTTTCGTATCTGTAAAAATGGAAATAATAATAATACCTACTTTGTGTGGTTATAGTGCAGACTGAATGAGAAGACGTACATAAAATTCGTGGAGAGCAGTAGGTTTATACACACACTCACATCCCACGCCCACTCACACACATGCAGACATACTCTAACCCACAACTCCACTTACGTCCTCTGAGCTAGCATCTGGGCACTCATTTATGTATTCTCCTACGAGTTTTTCTGCAATGATATGTATTCAAGCTTACATCTAACAGCTGCACATGTCCAGGTGAAAATTTGTTTTCTGATCCATTTGGAAGCATGTAGGCACAGCTTTAAACTGCAAATTTCTAGAGAAGAGAGCACATGACATGGAAGGACATGGCCTGGATGGTCCTGTTTCTTGCAACTAAAAAGAGATAGGGTCCACCACTGACACGGGACAGCTCCTGGGAGTCCATCCCCACCTGCAAGTGATGAGTGAAGAGCCCTGCTGACAGGAAATATGCGACATAAGGCAGTGGGTTCCAGCCCTGCACTGCCAGTCAGTGCACTCGAGAACAAGGCCAGACGGGAAGTGTATAAGGCTCCAAGACTTGAGGATAGTTAACAAAAGAGGGATTTGAAGGATGGTGTCTCAGTCAAGGTCCTTGTGGCTACTCAGAAGAGAAACCAACTCAATACAGCCTAAGCAAACACGAGAATTTCTTGGGAGGCACTGAAGTATCTAATGGAACCCAGAGATCTTTTCCAGAGAAGGATTTTCCAACCTCAGGACTACCGACACTTTGCACTGGGTAAATCTTTGTGGTGGGGGCAAGGAGGAGGTTTCCTGTGCACTATGGCAGCATCGCTGGCCTCTGTCTACTAACTGCAAGCAACACTGCCCCTCTCCCAAAGTTGCAGCAACCAAAACAGTCCCATGACATTGCAAAATGTCTCCTTGGGGGCAAAATTGCTCCCAGTTTAGAACCAGTGGCCTAGAAGGGAAAGGCTTGATCTGTGTGTGACAAGTGGCAGAGCTGCAAGAAGGCCAGAATGGGGTATGAGGCTCTCTAAAGCATGGGGACAATGCTCTGTGTTAGTTATTTTCCCAGAATTATTTTCTCTGATCCTCCAAGAACTCAGCAAGGTCAGGACTATTAACCCATTTTATCAGTGAGGAAACCAAGGCTTATGAAGTTAAGCATCTTGCTGAATTTCACACATCTAGAAATTGATAGAGTCCAGCTTAGGTCTATCAGGTGCCAACCAGGCTGTGACTAACTTAATATAAAGCCAGACTAGAATCTCAGGCCTTGAAATACCCTGATACTAAAGTGGCCCTATTCAATTCTTCATCAGAAGTGGAACAGATTTGTTAATGCTCAAGAAATGGTATGTGATGATAAAGCATATCACAGGAAGTGTTTTCTCCTGTTTAAGAAAATACCCAAAAGATGAAGAGGAGGTTACTCCCGACTTTAAAACCAACCTTGTCTTTTAAAAAATACCATATGTGAGTGAAAAAGGTCCATAGCCTCCTGTCCCTAATTCACTAGTTAACAGGACTTGAACTTAATGAGAATCAGCTCTTTTGAAATCAGTAAAGCTTTTGCCCATGCAATGGAGCAAAGACTAAAGTCACATGCATATAAATTAAGGTGCAAAACTCTGTGAGAAAGGCCATAAAATCACATGGTTCTTTAATAGCAAGGTCAACATTTTCCTTATTTCGGATCTAACACTGTATGTAATACATATAAAGCACTTAAGATATTTTTGTTGAATGAATAAATGGCCCTGAATTTCTCTAGATACTTTTAGTTGAAGAAATATACTTTCCTCCCCCCTTGGGAAGGTTTCTGAATAATTGCCTCAACTTTTTACTTAACTTTAACTGTATAAAAACAACCTAAGAAAGAAAAAGCACCTTAGAATGTATCCCATTTAAAAGTTTTAAAATGAATTTTGTGTCAGATGCAATGCAGTTCACATGAAGCAATGTATCCAGCAAAACTGAAAATAAGCGTGTGTCACCAGAAAGCTGCAATGTGTTAATAAATACATTTGCGTGCACGGGACCAAGGGTAATAGTACACAAGGGCAAAGGTTAAACAGTTAGGGCCCTGGTTTAACAGCAGGGCTGAACTGTTATTTAAATGTCACAAATGTCAGTGTTCGTCTTCAAATAGTATTACAGTAGGATTAGTGTCCTAAGCCTTGTCCCAATTTATGGAGAATCAGGGAGAATGATTCTCATCAGCTTGGTCCAAAGCAAGAGAAGATTGATTTTCCTTTACCCTTGAGTCAGCTTTTATGAGTTTTCCAGACTCTACCTTTCCTAGGCTGCATCATGGATGCAAACTGCCAGATCTGATTGGAGGCCATATGTGAGCAGTGAATCTGAAAGAGTTATGGCTCATTGAGAAACCAACGAAGAAAAGCCTGCCCTCCTCAGCCACCTCCCCGCCCCCGCCAGGGCTCCCACCATATGTTGGAACCAGCAATGACTGAAAGCCACAGAACAAGTGTAGGTGGGACCCACCGTGCAGAAGGCAGGGAGCTCCAGAACCAGGATGGCCGAGCTCATCTTGAGTCTCCATCAGCATCATTTGTCTTTGCTTAACTAGGAGAAGAGGCATGATTCTGAAGCGCTTCCAGTCCTTATTAGAACTTACCTTTGTGGTTAATAGCAGTAACACACATGTATTTGAGCAACTGCCAAGTACAATAGACACAGCATCTCATCTCACTTAAAGCTCAGAGAGCTCTGTGGGTGTGTATTATTATTAGGCCTGTTCTAAATAACAAAGATACGAACTAAAGGTCTCATGGCACAGAAGGGCTACCTAATTCCAAGCATCTCTCTCTTAACAATTATGTCGATGGAGTGACTTACAGAGAGGGAAAAGGCAACAAGACCTCAAAGCCACAGAGCTTTATCCCTTGAAGCACTGCCCACCATGGACTTGGAGTTCTATAGCTCAAGGGATGTAGCATCTGAGGCATCAGCCTCCACTAGGGCACCCAGCCATGGAGGGCATGGCATTCAATGCCTTGAACAACCTCTAAATGAGAGCAGTGGCCTTGACATGACCCTTTCTCTTTAGAATCACCACAGGGTGATTTTCAAATGGA